CTTGGTGATGAAAGAGAAAATGTCGAGGTTGGTGCAAGCAATTTTATAAAAGATATTTTTCTAAACTCCTTAAGAACCGATGAAAGTGCTTTTTTGTACAAAGTTCTGCCAAACAGGATCTTTATGTCCAAATGTAAAAAACTGGAAAACACAAAAATCTCGATTTAACCTACTATTTTTAGGTTATGTACACAATTGGCAAGCCGTATTTGGCTAATGTCAAAGTCTGGATAACGTCAGCATTGCGTAGTGACATTATTTAAGAACTTGATAGTGAAATGGTGGCCACAGGCCTCTGATTTAACCTCGTAATGAAGGCATTATGCATACTTGTATATTCAAAGCAAAGTATAGGAACATTATAATTCGAAAACGCAGTTGAACGAGGAACTCTACTTCAAACTTTTATTAAATCTATAGCTATATTAGACGTTCTTCAATATATACGAAGAGAGTTTGATAGTTGGTAAACTTTGATACAATTTCTAGTTGTTTATGTTTATTTAAATATGATTTTCTTTCCCTCAGGCAGGATTTTGTAATTCAAAGTTTTATGGAGTGAGCTGCGAATTTCGGAGGAAATACCAAGTCCCCAAGAATATATCCATTTTAATGACGAATTTCAATGCAGAGAATTTTTTACAGATGATTAAACTATTGCGGACCTATGCGATGAACCCTCATCTGAAATTAGTAGTAGCAATGTAGACTGTGGAAATTATAATGACGCCGCTACAGTTATATGTGCTAAGAAAGTCTTAACGGCATAAGATACTTTGGAAAATTTTTTAAATGAAAGAAATAGTTGCCAAATTTAAAAAAAAAAAGCATAGAAAGCTAGGCAATAGAAGTCAAACTTCTTGGATCTCGATGCGTACTTGAAATGAAAATACTTACCCTAGCCAGCAAGTTTTATGAGATAGAAATATTTCCCCGATAACAGAAGCTACTATTCATTGTTCTGGAATTTTAAAGAGTGTTAGGTTAATGAAAAAAGATAGTTGATGCTTTCGCCTCCATTTATAAAAAATTTATTCATTCACTTTCATACTTTCATTTTCAAGAAAAGATACAATTGGTTTGTGGTATGAAAAATATGAAATGAAAACTCGTGATTGTAAATTATTTAAATATCTTGAGAAAAATGCATCTATTGTCGTGCCTGATCTGGTTGTTGAGTCTATGGAATTATTATTAATTTTTAAATTAAATTTACTTTTTAAAAATTGTACAAGTGGTTGAGCTTCTTCCAAGGCAAAATTGACATTAAAATCACCGCCTAAAATTGTTGGCATAGTGTGCAAATCTTCTCCTAATTATGCTGTACTAGAGGGAGTATATGCCAATAATGCTCTATTTATCAATTTTATTATATCGTTAATTCTTTGGTTTGGAGTGATGTAGAGAACAATAATTGCCACACTCTGTCCACTTTCTATGACACATTCGGACGCACAAATATCTTCAACTGCAGCAGCATTCACAACCAACTAGTTAATTTGTTTTAAATTCATATCCATATGTGGAGTGACAATATTTATTCTGTCAGTGGAGTTATGGTAGACAGTTACCGCAACAGCTCTTACATTGGGACGTTTGAAATGGACGATACAATCGAAGTTCGGCACATCCACAGCTTGTGCATTGCTTATCCACGTTTCCGACAATAATAAAATATTCGCTCGTTAGGCTACTGTGGCCGTCAAGTGTACTGCGTGAGCCTGTAAACTTTGGCAATTTAGGGAGAATAATAAGAGAATCAACATTAACATTAACCTTAACATTAACCTTACCATTAACATTCTCTCTAACATTAACCAACATCAACGTTAACATTACTCCGAATCTGTCGCGTTTTCGTTTCTCTCCCATGTCTCCTTCCGTCCGACTGCCCCACCACGCGTGCCATCCACTCCCTTTTCCTGTCGCTTTTTCGTTTCATTCGATACTGGAATTACAGCCCAACGAGCGCAAAGAAGTTTCACTTCAAAAATAAATAAAAAATTCGCAAAGTAAAACTATTAATAATTTTTTGTAACTTCAATCAAAATATACTAACTTTATCTAAATAAAAGAAATCACAAACACATTTTTGTATTTGCTTACCTGCACATTTCTTTTAGGTGCATTAAATCGTGTGTAACGGATGCATGTAAGTGCAGCTAAACGGAATATATTGTATTGTTAGAAATACTATAAGTACGCATTTATTTAAAGTTTTGTAAACAATTTCAAATCAGTAAATTCAGGCCTTAGTTGATATTATCACGTGACAGTCGCTGTTATAAAAAACCTGTTATATGGACATAATTTGAATGCGCATTCATTAATTGAACGTTTTGCCACGATGTTTGTAACACCCAAAAGGAAACATCGGATTCCCTATAATGAATATATGCAACAAGAAAGAAAGGGTTAAGTTCGAGTGTATTCGAACATTTTATACTCCACAATTTTCAAAATCCAAAGACGGGGAAGTTCTATCAGGTTTTGCAAAACTTTACTTAAAAAATGTTGCGTAAGAATTCAATATGCATTAGTTGAAGAAACTGAAGGGATTAAAATCAAATTTGGTATCATATTAGTTTTAAGGTGTAATCCAATTCCAGTCATATTAAGCGTTAAGATACATTATTTTTTAGAAAAATTGTCCACTAAATTTCATGACATCATCTCACATATTAGCCAACAGAAACGCTTTAAATTCAAAATGGATAGAAATCAAAATATTGTGTATTTTGCATTAAGTTTTGACATCACTCTAGTAGGAGGTGTGTTCAGAAAATTTTATTTTAGGAAGGTAGCTCACACATTGACCGATTAATTCGGTATAGAGTCTGCTAAACAACGAAAATATTTATATATAATATATAATATACTGAACTCGGGTAGTTCGGGGAGCGATTTCACACATTTTCGGCATTAAACTAAGGTATATCCGCTCTGCAAAAATCCTTATATTAATTATATGAGGGCTAGGGGCCTATTCACCCGATTTGGTTCATTTTAGGCACAAGGGAACACTGGAGAGTCCGAATTCGACCATTATGAAACGTTTTATATATATTACATCTATCTTAAGGGCACTATTTGTACAAAGCTTTCTTCGGATAACTTTATTGGTGTTCAATTTGTATACTGTAAAATGAAGGAAGAGATGGAATTTAAAACATTGTTATATGGAAAGAAGTTGCCCATTTTATTTAAACTATAATATATAAAAATGGCAATACAATATTATGTACCGAACTTGGTTGAAAATGGTCCACTAGTTCCCGATATATATTATTTCACCAAAAGGTGGGTGTTGCCGCGCCCATCGTCTCATTTTTGTCACAGGCACCTATAAAGCTCTTCTGTGCCAAATAGGATGTGAAATTTAATGCCTCTGACGTATTTGCTTAGTGAGTTATCGCGCATTTAGCAGTTTTCAACATAACCGATATATAATATAAGGAGTGGGCGTGGCTATCTTCTGATTTGACCCATTTTCACAATGAATAAAGAATTGTGCGAAATACTTTCTTTCAGCAAAGTCTGGTTGAAATAGCTATTGTGGTTTGTGAGAGGTTGGGGCACGCCCATTTTTCAAAAATTTTGACTGCGATATTTTGTACCAAATAACGGTTTTGTGTCTTAATTTGCTAAATTTTTACTCATGTTATCGCTTGTACGAACGGACGGCCAGACAGACAGTCTCTTCAAACTCAACTCGTCTTTTCATCTTGATCATTTATATAATATAACTAAATATTTATCTCGATCAGTTTTAGATGATACACACAACCTGTTGCGAGAGTATAAAAATTATCGGCGGGACGAGTAGAATCGATTTAGCCAAGTCCGTTTTCACGTTCATCACGTGATGTTTGTAAGCGCGAAAAAGGGCTGCAGAACCCTGATCAAGACTGGAAAAATGAATTTTATTACTGAAAAGTTGATAATTGATTAAAATGTAAGAAATGCAAATATCATAAAAACAAGAGCACATTCCATATTGTTATGAATAAATTTGTAATCAGGACAATTTAACATTCAAAATTTCCGAAGATATCCAAAGCAACAAAAAGATATATTTTGTGTAGAGATGTGTTATACAAGGCATCGCTACAATCTTTGAAGAATTTGTTTAGATCGAACTACTATAGGTTATAGCTGCCATGTAAACTGACCGGTCAAACCCAAGTCGTTGTGTTGAAATTTTTTTATTCTTATCTTGTTTACTTACACCAGATACGTTTTTCTGCAGTTTTAATTGAGATAACAGTCGTAGTCCTTCTTTCAAACGACATAGTTGTATCAATGTTTCAACTTGTAATAAAAATAATTGTTCACCATTGTATTCGGCAAAGCGTCTTACTACATCCGAAGAGAACTCTTTAGCATTTAGCCAGTTAAATACATCAATACTACTAGATCGCTGATCGATGTAAATCGGTAACGTTCTATATATTTCTAAGTTATTACGTTTCTCACGTATTCGTAGCACTTGTCCTAGTTCCTCCAGTATTAAGCCATTCGATGTACTCAGTTCATTATATTTGCCACTGTTATACATATTTTATCCCCGAAAGCCTGGGACGGTACACTAAAGTTTTCCCATAATTTCATTTAAATAAATCAGGGTCGGCTTTAGTTTAGCATCCCACGATTTCAGAGTTAGGAGAGATATGGTTGGATAGAGGAGATTCTCCAGATCACGAATATATACAATTATTGCTGCCGGAAACTTATAGTTTTCGATATATTTGCATTTTAAGTTGAAAATTTCACAAATTTTATTTTACAATTTCTCGATTTATGGTTAACTTTTATTTTATATTATGCACTTATTACACACTAACACTTAACTACAATGTTTATACATATTTATTTTATATTAGATATTTAAATATTTGCTTTAAATAAGCATTTTATTTTTACACAATTTTCGTAATATGAACAATAACAAATGGGTTCCATGTTGTCAGATAATAATTGTTGCGAAATCGTGGGATGCTAAACTAAAGTTTTCCCATACATCAGAACTGCTATTATTATATGTATATAATATTTGTGTATAATAAATTAAACTACTACTGGATACATCGCAATCACAATCCCTTGTAATCATTCACTTAATTGGCAATTACGCTGTCAATAGATTAAAGTATTTATAAAAAATGACCAAAATATTTTCCCGCAACATTATTCGGGTGGGCTTTAGTTTAGCATCCCACGATTTCAGGGTTAGGAGGGGTATGGTTGGATAGAGGAGATTCTCCAGATCACGAATATTATTGCCCTATTATGGTCCTTTTCGCTGCTGTTTGTGCAGAAAGGAGTTTGACGCAATTGAATTATGAACACCTCGGTTTTTGACCGACCAGGGTTATTTTTTTGAAGCGGGCCGAAGGCCGCCAGTGCGGAAAGGAGTTCGACGATCTCCGATATTCATTCATTCCATAAAAATGCGGCACTTTTGACTATTACATTTTTTCAGTATATTTTTTTCATAAGAAAATGTTTAACACACTGAACTGGTAATTACAGCTAAGAGATCAGAATTCCACAGAATTTTGCCGCTACAACAACAACAACAACTAAGTGACATGAATATGTGATATGTGCAAAGTGTGTAAATAAATATTGAAAAATATACATAAATTATTGAAAAAATTCACTTTCCGCTCACGGATTTGTAATCTACATAACTTTTTTTTAAGGGGTGGCCGACGGGTAATTCCTTCGAATTCATAAAAAGGACACTTAATTATGTCACCCCTTACAACCCCAACCCCCTACGAAGTGGGGGCCATTAAGTACATATTTACCAAATAAATTAACATCTAATATATAAAATTCTAGTGTCCACGGTGTTTGCTATCGAACTCCTCTGAAACGGCTGGACCAATTTTGAAGAAATTTGGGTGCTTTCCGGGTACAAAATACACATAATTCTTAATTTTCACACTTATACAATCGACTCCTACTTTTAAACGCAATTGTTATTTTATACTGTTTTATCCCCAGGTCTACAAGATGGCAGTCGAATATAAAAATTGTAGTATACTATAAGTATAATTTTCATATATAGATCTATGAACCAATCAGCTATCCCCACCATGTGCCTCCCGCTGTCCCTTTTCAACCAGAAAACATCACGAATTACGGATAAAAAGAAGTCGACTTATTTAATTTTCATTAAGTCAAGTTCATTTTATTCTCACAGTGAATTTAACATTATTTCTAAGTACATTTTTAAAAATAGCCAACGCGGATTTTCCACGAACGAAACAGCGCATGATCGTGCTATAAATATAAAATGGGCTAAAACATGGGCTCAATCGAAAAGTTAAGGAACATATTCCTAATCACAGTCTCGCACCTAAATGTATCACTTCTCCATGTGCAATAAACAAAAACAATATACATCGAACACAACTTATATGCATCGGTAGGTTAATAAAAATACATCGTAACATATACGAGAGAGTACGAGTATTTATCAGCAGCAGTTGTTACAACAATATGCCTTGTGGCACAAACAGTCACCGACGCAAAACCATGGATCGAATCAGCTGATACGGCCTATCTTTTGAGAGCGCATTGTAAATGAACAGTCACCACCGCTTTTACCGTCCGCTTCAACTTCGATATTTTGTAGTAATTAAAAAATGAACTTGAATATATTTGAAATATTCTTAAAATAACACAAAATCACAGTCGAATACATTTATTTATAAATATGTAGACTATTTTTAATAGTTGGATTTTAGTTATAAGCTTTTACATTATGAAAAACTATAACTAAAAAACTAAATGTGTGTAAAATCGTGTATACAAATAGAACAATGGCAACATTGGTGAAATGAAAACAAAAGAGAACAACTGATTTCTGCGTTGCAACTACGGGCATAACTTTTGACAAATTTGATTTGATACAGGCGGTAAGTACGGAAGGGAGGAATGTCGGTAACTGTTTGTGGTATTATCGAGAAATGCGACGGACAAACATTGTAACAATAGAAATGCAATAATTGTGTGTGTAAGCATGTCAATATGTAATATGATTTATGTAATATGATCTAGTAAACTGAATTAGTAATAAGTACACACACATACATTTAGTAATAAATACACACATTTTAGTATAAATAACACTTCCATTTTTTTTAAATATTATGAAAAACGCGTCACGAGCTCTTTAAAAGACTAATTACAATATATTAAAACACAATAGAATCTACACAAAAAGAACGAACAAATTCATGAAAAGTAACGGTATTTCCAATTCAAGCTAACTGAACGCAGACTTAATGGCGCCTATGTTTAATATAATACCTATAAAGGTAGAAAATTTGAACTGAATTACCTATTTACATTGTGTTTTTACTTCACTTAAAAAATAGTGTCGGGTGAACGCAGACTTTATTGGCTATGTGTATATATAATAGTTTTGTTTCTTAATGTTAGTTTGTTTTAAGGTACAGGGAGCAAATAGGATAGCCAAGGGAATCGAACACCCAAAAAAATCGGTAACCACTTAGCTGCATACTTCTTGGTGGATTGGAAAATGCAATATAGTATAAGCAAATGTAAAAAAGCAATAAATAAAATCTAACGAAATAAAACATTTATTGTTTGGCACAGAAACAATTATGTTTTTATTTAGTTATTAGCTTTTTTTCGTTTGGGCGTAACAAAGTATTTATAATATATCGATATATTCAAATTATCAGATTGGACAAGAAAATGTATAGCATTTTTAAATTGTAGCAATGAATGCAAATATAGGTGGTGCGAGTGAAGAAATAGCCCATGATTCCATTTTTTGTTGGTGGTGAGCACTGTAATACTGCCCACATATTAGATCTGGAACTAACTAGATGCACCTCTTGAGTACTCATGTGGCGCCAAATTTACTTCAATAAAAGCAATGTGATCGTAGTAGGAGTATGGTGATTTATAAGCATCGGAACATATTGGACGCAATTTCAGTTTCTAAATATTTCTGTGTCGTACATAAACCATTTTCCAAATTAAAATCACTATGTATGCATTCTAAACAATCACGATGTCGATTAATATAGGTAAATGTAATGTCATTTTCATCCCAAAGAAACTTGTTATAGTTAAAGTTAAGTTCTGCTAAAGCGGTATACTGATCATCGGTTATTAAGGCCCAGGTGAAAATAAGACTTTTTAATTTCTACAGGTTTCGTCTGGAAAAAAATGATTTTAATAAGTTTATATAAAAATCGGGTTTTGTTTTTTAAATGATTTCAGGTCTGTGAGCCAAGCGGGTGTGTAATCACGACCTTTGGCTTCATGAATTTCGCATACGAATAATCTCAGTGTGATGTTTGAATCGGAGTTTTTTCTAGTCACTTTTGAATGTTTTTCCATTCATCTGTCATGACCATGTTTGAAGCTATATTTTTAAATATATTCTCTTTCTCTTTTTTTGTTGATTGCCTAATTCATCTATGCCACAATGGTGGGTGGTTTGCATAACTTCAAAATATCGCTGTCATCTTGGTAGTTTGGAATAAATTTTTAAAATCATCCACCTGTCCCGTCCCCATATTCTTGCGGAATAAAATCATTTTTATCTACTTTATTGCTGATATCTTCAGAATCTAATTCTATTTCAACCCTATCGATACCATTTAAATAATAATTTTTATCGTCATCCTGTAAAAATATAACTTTTACCAAAATTTTGTAAATATAATTAAGGTTACCTTCAAGTTCATTTTATCAGCCGACATATCGATTTCCTCTATTTTTTAATACACTTTTATTAGCTTGGGTTGTATGTATGTAATGGAATCTTAGAGTTCAATTTTGACCGATGACATTGCAATAATTTGATAACAGTTTTCCATTACTTTAAAGATGGGCGTAACCCCGCCCTTAAATGGTTTAATGTATATATCTTTTAAACCGCTAAAGCTAACTCAAAAAAATTTGCTGAGAGGGAGTCCTTTTAGCCCTTTTTCATACGCTGTGAATCGCTGAAATCAGATCACGCCCACTCCCCATATAACAGTTATGTTAAAATATACTAAAAGTGCGATAACTGGCGAAATAAATGCGCCATAAGCATTAATTTTCACAAACAATAATTCGATATCTTTGAAATTTTCATTACTTATTTTAGGAAGATGGTCCTTGCACATATGATGCATAAATTTTTCAAACTGAAGCAATTTCACCATCACAGAACTCATCGTTTATCTGGGTATGACGAAATGTTAATTTGATTTTTTCGATTATTTGTTACATTTATTTCATACTAGTAGCTGACCCGGCGAACTTTGTTCCGCCTTAATAATGGAAATAAATAAGCAGTTTTTTTTTAATTGAAAAATATAAAAATAAATTAAATACCTACATTAATCATTGATAATTATTTCTGTATTTTAGTACATAGGTTGCTCTTCATTTAAGTACCTTGTGATTCACGACATTTTTTGTTTTATTATCAGGCGCAAAAACAAACAACGCAGATGGTCTTCCGACCCGTGGACATGCCACGTATAATTGACCATGGGAAAAACATGAATGTTCTAGATTTAAACGCAGTCAATAGATTTGAATGTATGCATTGTTCCAATGATCTTATTTTGAATTATGTAGTTTAGGTCATCTACATCCTTATTCTTAGCCGCTAAAATTGCTCGCTCACTCAACCATTCATTATTTTTGTAGTTAGAAATAATTTCTGGAAATACATTGTTGATAAGTTCGTCTTTTGATGATACAAAATTACAGATGGCAATTTCACTTTACCATTAAGGCAGCATAATCCAGGCGCTTCACCGGAAAACTTTAATGCACCACAATACTCGCAAACTACGTCCATTTGCCCAATGCAAACGCTAGGATGCAAGCTGTAATCATTGCTGCAATCGTATTGAAACGCTGCTCGATTCAAATCAGCACTTGATAAATATCTTGTTCTGCGTCGCAAATTATCTATTTGTTGACCTCTGTTGTTCGCTCGACGATTCTGCATTGCCAACCGAGCTGTTTCACGGGCTGCTTCACTTTGCTCTCGTGATTGAGAAGCACGAATTCGAGCCATACTATCGCGGCGCTGTTCACGTGCAATTCTTGTTCTTCTTCAGTCCTTTCATTTTCAGTATTTCGTATTCTTCTTGCATCACGGCTTTGTCGTTAAAGATTCGATCGTCTTGGTCGCGGCATTATTAATTAAACTTCACTTCAATATTAATATTATAATTATTTTTCTTTTTTGAAGTAATAAAATATTCAAATGATTCTAATATGAATTTTGAACACATGATTATGATTTGAAATATAATTTTTTTATTATGAATTGTATTGACTTTAACATTAAAAAGTATCCTATGTCCTTCTCCTGGCACTAAACTACCTCCCTGCCAATTTTCAGTTAAATCGGTTCAGCCGTTCTTGAGTTATAAGTGGAGTAACTAACACGACTTTCTTTTATATATATAGATTATTTATGCACTTTGTAGAAATTTAACGTTGTGCTGATGGAATTCAATCTTTTACCATCGTTCAATTTTGTAAATTTATAAAACTTGTCCCTAGTTTCGTAATAAGCATTTCTGGATCCCGTTATTTGACATGGTTGCTTATTTGAATCTTATATTTTCAGTGGTGAATATTATTAATTTACCACAGCTAAAAGAGTCATAAATATAAATCCAATTATTTTGGTATTTGCCAATAATACCCGCTCCTTTAAGAATATATATTAATATCAACTGATTTTATTAAAAATTATTGTTTAAATGTAAACAATATTTTCAGGGCAAATGTCCATTCTAAGCAAATAACAATATGCAACTATTTTCCGGTCAAAAATGGGCCTTCTTGGATGCCAGTAAAAATTCAACTCGGAAATCCCTTGACACTTCTCAGCTGTCGCTTCTTTACATTTTTATTACCTGATAGTTTCCTACTCCCTCTACTTCAACGAAACCGCACGGCACAAATAAAACATCTTAGTAAAGTTGCAATTATATATTTTATAATATATTGTGACGAACATGGATGTAAGAAGAAAATCGAATCGACGATAAATTGCCAAAATCAGCGAAATTCGTAGCTGCCAGAATCTTCGAGTGTCGAAGTTTTGTTAACGATATACTATTTAAGGGCTGCCGATTGTGTGTGAGCAGACACAGTTCTAGTTAGAGTGCTGCCGTGCCAATGAGATCTAAGTATGGAGTTGTAAACTCGGATAATGAGTAATAAAGCGTTTAGTGGTTGGAATTAAAAATAAAGATAAATGTGTAGCCATTAAATCGGGACTTTATTTAACAGTCGAACTCAAGAGTGAGTTACAAAGTCGATGATTTATCGAGAAATCATTTAATTAGTGTCAAAATGGGATTGTCAAATAAACTCCCAAAGATAGAAATGTTTTGAAAGGCCAAGTTTAATGATCTGAGATTTCACCACAGAAGAAGAGCGGGAGCAACGTGGTTTGGCAACAAATGGAGAGACAACAAAGATGTACGAAAAGGAAGGAGACTCAATGGGTTATGGGCATGGACACGTTTTGCGTTAAGCTTTTGTCAGCGCAGATTTCAACGACTTCACAAAGGCAGAAGTGTCATCACAAATGTTGACGCAGTTGGATGCGCCGTTGTCAGCAGCTTTCGAAGCCCATTTGGAGCGTTTGTCAGCACAATTTAAAATGAGCGTGTATATCAACACTGGTGTACTCACAGTCAGAAGAGCAAGAAGCTTGCATACCAGCACAAGTGTCTTTACAGTTGAAGAACAAGAAGCGTGTATACCAGTAAAATGGTATTCACAGTCGGAAGAGCAAGGACGTGTATACCAGCCCAGATGTCCCCATAGTCAGAAGGGCACGAAACTTGTATATCAGCACAAGTGTCCTTACAGTTGGAGAACAGGAATCATGTATAACATGACAAAAGTCCTCATAGTCGGAAGAGCAGGATAAAATTAAGGCTGAAGTGGATGAGTAGCAAGAATATCCAGATTTGCAAAGTGTACTGCATGGAATGGAGTTGAACTGGTATACAACGAGTGAAGAAGTCGCTGCAGGAAGCCCAGTCGCAAAAGAGCTGAGCAGTTTAAAGTTGGTGTGGGGCTGCTTGCATAGAGTATGGAAAAGCGAAGATGGG